GGAAGCATTTAGCCTCTTTACAGAAAGAGTATGACAGACATTATTTCTCTGCCTGCTCCATAGTTGTGACTAATCTATTCAACTGAAAGACTGCATTGTTTTGTGAATTGGAAAATTAATTTTAAAATGTTTGCTTGCTGTTGAGGATTTAGATGAGATTAGGTCAATGCTTTGACTAAGTAGCTGCAGTCTTAGGTCTTCCTTCTCCTCACTCATAAACAACTCTTTACTGCTCCTGTCCAGTTTTACTGCTGCCACTGACTTCTGGGCATATTCCCTTAGAAGTCTTTACCTTTTAAGTTCCTCTATTGGTGTGTTACCCACAGAAATTAAATTGTGAAGAATTATCATTTTCCCTGTCCTTGAACCCTTTTTATTAGGTAAAAACCTTCCTAGTGTTCCTTTTTGCATTTACCAACCCCTGCCAGCACATGGGTCAGGCTTACAGAAGAGGGACAATTTTGCATGGAGCTTGGTGGGAACTACCCATGCATTTGGTGCTCACACAGCACCACACACCTTGGGGTGCTTGGGGAGGAATTCACTTCCTCCTGAAAGCCCCAGGGATGGCCCCTGCAGCTGGCAGGGCTCACCAAGTCAACAAGCACTTGGTGCCAGTGACCTCCCACACTCAGCACCTTCCAGACAGCCCCGGAGAGCCCAAACACCAGTCTTAGACTCTCAAGTGCCTACCGAGATCCCCTGTTGGTGCCTGCAAGTGGATTTTAACCTGTGCTAAAGCTGTGTTGAACCCAGTAGCCCTGTGACACTCGATGCTGCCTAACCATGTAGAGCAGCTGAACACTTCAACAATATCAGGCCTCAGAGTGCTGGACTTCTGCCTCCAGAGAAACTTCAAGCTGATACAAATTGGGATAGACAGTCCCTTTCCTCTTCTCAGGGATGTCACCAGTAGGCGAATTGAATTGTTATTTACCTTAATCAAGGAACATTGCCTGTGCCCTTATACACTGCATGTGAACCAATACATTTACAGGCCCAAGCTGCATTTTATAATTTTGTGATTTGAACACTTCTTCAGCAAAGGAAAGGACCTGAAATCGCTCTTTAGGTCAATTCACGTTAGAGCACCCATACATTGGTAGTACATCTATTCCCCCTTCTTTGCCTTAAGGTGAAGTTTGGCTGCTGGAAGACACTATTCGCAAATTGAGCTTCATCTTCTCCTACTGGAAAATGACACTGAACATCTGCTAATTTCCTGACTGTGTATGTTACTAGATCTATGGCTTAAACCTCAGAGGATAATAAAGTTCTTCCACCCAAACCACTGGGAATGCTTCATATCCAAACCTCACGGCCTCTGCTCCAGCATGTGTCTCACAGCTGCTAAAGGGGACAGAGCACTGCGACAAGGAGGGACTCTCTGCTCATCCCTGATGTCACCAAGGACCAGGCTCTGAAACGCCCATGTCTTCTGACCAAAGCCAGCTGTCATCCAGCACAGCTTGTGCTCTCACTAAAGCGTATGTCCACTGTCACAGCATCTTCAAGAATGAGGCATTTCTCCTCATGCCTTGACCTGGATTAAACATGAACTGGTCACTGCATTGTGCTGCAGAGAAATGAAGTCTGTCCAAACTCGAAGAAAATGCTGCAGGACATTTGGCTACAGCTGGCATTCTCTCGACAGCACTTTACAAACTCTGCTCCCACTCGTTTCGAGAGGGTGCCCAGCACCTTAGAGCTGCATACCAAGGAAGAGCCAGTGCCAAGGCTCTCCTGTGCCCATCCACACCAAGTAAAGCAGAGACCAAACTCGTGCTTCTTACAAACAGATTTATTTGCATTTTGACTGGAGCACAGATTCTAGATACAGGTTTCTTCTGCACAACAGTACAAGAGCCAGTGCAAAATACGCTTTTTTCTTTTTTTTTCTTTTTTTTTTTTATTTTTTTATTCATGTACAAAAAAACCCCGAAAACGAAACAAAAAGACAAAGAGTGTGGCAGTATTTACTCACAACTGGTAATGCCTCAGCCTCCCATCGACCCACCTCCACTTGCCCTTGCCCATCATGCCAACCTTGTGGTCAGCATTGCCCGCCTCGAACGGCTGCACTGTCAGTGAAGAGAGGTAACTCCCCAGCCCTTTGAAAGATAAACACTCACCCCAAGCAAACTGGGACAACACCAGGCTACTTAAAGAAGATGAACACACCATCTACTCGCCAATGCATCCCCCGCCAGGGAGCAGAATTTTGAGGGAATAGCAAAAAAAAAAAAAAAAAAAGGTACAAATCAAAAATTCACAAAAAATTAGGCACTAGCTCAACCCATTTGTTAGAGAGAGGCAAGGATGTCAGACACAGTCTGCCTTCTCATATTCACCCACAGTAGTGATGATCAAAGCCAAACACTCCCCACTCTGAGTACCCTGTGCTGTCAAACAGATTATAATCTTATGAAAATATTTCTATTAGTACCATAAAGTTAAACCATTTCATAACTGGAGGAGAAAGAGAAGCTATAGTCTGAATATAAGCATTTCTTTGAGAAGTCAAAAAACACCAAAACAGATAGAGACAAAAAAACCTGTCCCAGTCATCCACCAGATGATTGTTAGAATTACAGCCAATGCTTAAGCAATACAACATTGAGCTAGGAAAGGTCATCGTATGGTTGTTCTGCTCAGGGAGTAGCCTTACTAGTTCACAAAGCATTGGGCAATCTATTTCTCTGTTATTCTAACTAATTTTCAGAAGCTGCAATGTAGAACTGCAGTGTTAGTGCAACAAGATGCTCTTCTTCACCAAGGCCTGGGATTTATATTGCAGAAATTCACCCAATTTACATCACTCCAAGTGTACTGTGTCCAAATCACCTAGAGTCTCTATTATGGACTCTTACAATTCTACCCAAGGAATGGCTGGGTTTTGAAGCTTGATCAACCAGAGTCTTTTACATTGAACTGCAATTAAACAAAGCAGAGTACCAGTTAAAGCCAAAGAACACATGTACTCAGCACAAATATGTGTTGATACTGTATGCATGTAGATATATATATATATGCATATACATGTATATGTTACATTATAAGGAGAGTGCCATTCAGGGCTTCTCAACTGCAAGAATCCTTTTACCACATCCAAGTCTTGAAACTTCCGCCCGTTAAATTTCACACTAAGACAATGAGAACTTCAATGTTTCCAGATTGAATGATTACTTCTATTTTAGCCAATTAACCATGCAGGGCCAGCTGAAAGAACAGGAGCTTTCATTTTAATAGCACCAGTCCTGACACCTCAGTCAGATGGTCAAGTTTTTATCACAAGATTATTCGCCCCTTCCTTGCCCTGCAGTTGTGTATCATGGGCATTTCTATGAGTTCTCAGCACATCACCAGAATCATACTAACTGATCTGTATCAATTTACTCAGTTGATACAGAAAAGGCCACAATTCAGGAAATCATTTCAAACAGACAGTACAGATCTGACGAGAACATGGGTTTATACTTTGCAGTACTGGCTGGAGTATTGGTATAAATCATATGATGATTCTGCCTTTTCATTCCCAGCAAACCCACTTCTTATAGTGGCTGTCATCACACATACAACTGAAGAGCTGGACAGTTTGGGAAACCATATCATTCATTCATTGTTATCCTAAAACCCAATCCTTAGAGAGGTCTGCCATACAAATTTCACATATAGCTGAAAAAAGTCTCATTTAAATCACTTTCAGCAAGTTTCATTTGTTGCTTTTTAAAAAAGAAATAGGAGCAACAACAACAAAAAGCAAAAATAAGTGTAACAGACACTTAGGAGCAAAGTAAATGCAGAACTCTTCCGGATGTTTAGATGAGCAGGAGCTACTCACCTCCCTTGCCTTTAACCTATCTAGAATTTAGACATCTATCCCAGACTAATCATTTGTGCTTCCTCCAGTCTTGAGGAAACAAAAGCTTCCTTCTGAAGCTTGTCACATCCACAAACAATTCAAAGAAGTTCTTCCAGGGGCAGCAGACCCTCTGCAGCCACAGGGAGGGTCTAAGATTACCTGGCACTTACACAGGTGAGACAAGTGTCTCTCTCTCTCTCTCTTACTCCTCACATAAGCTACTAACATAAATCCTGAAGGCTTTGCATGGTTCCTGCATGGACAAACTCAGCTTCAACAGGGCAAGGTTTATTTTTATGATTCTGGGAAGCAGAGGGGAAGATTCCTCAGCAGTCCAGTCTCACACCAACACTGCCCTGACCACATGTACCACTCCCTCAGCCACAAGTGGCCAGTCTGCCCCTGTAAAATAACCAGTTGGTTACACAGCATCATGGACCAAGGGCAAAGGGTGCAACATGTTTTCCTGACACCACAGATACATTCTGCACCTTTCTCGAGAGGGAAGTCCTGATCTATTCTCTCTAGTGACCAGTGACAGGATGCGAGGGAATGGAACGAAGCTGAATTGGGGTAAGTTCAGATTGTACACTGGAGAAAAGTTCTTTACTGAGAGGGTGGTTAGTCACTGGAACAGTCTCCCCAGGGACTTCCCTGGCACTTGATCATGGCACAAAGCCTGCCAGAGCCCAAAAAGTAAGGATGCTCTGGATGACGCTCTTAAGACATCTGGTTTAGGTTTGGGTACACCTGTAAGGAGCAGGGCATTGGACTCTATGATGCTTATGGGTCCCTTTCAACTCAAGATATTCTACAATTCTAAGCTGCAGTAATTCAACAGTCTCCTAGACACCAAACCAGCTGAGCTGTGTCTTCATGGGGTTCTATGTTACTTGACCATAGACCCCTAAATTTCTGCTGTGACTACAGAGGTTCAACAAGGACTAGAACTACTGTCAAGGAAGAGTCAGTATTACAGACCCATTAAAGCTAATACAGCTTTACAAGAGACTAACACAGATAAAACAGCAGAGCCCACCGAGTAGGACAGTATTTATAATCTATGGGATTGTTTGCTCTGGTATACCTTCTTAGAGCACAGAAAGAAAAGCAAGAGATATTGTCAAATTCACCCTCATCAGTATAAAATTATTTTATTTTAAAACATCTAAATACAGCAAGGCCCTAACAGACTTATTTTTGTTCAAAATTGATCAAGCAAGTGTTAATGAAACACTGTGAGGGCTTTTGCATATAATTCCCTAGGGGAAAGAGTTGTTTCTTAGAGAATCAAGAAGTCAGACTTTTTTAAAATAAGCAAAGAGACCTCAGTTTCTAACTCCGGGAGCAAAGCTACCTCTATCTTTCTTCACTCTGCTGTGTTTCAGCATTGCTGTGTTCCCTCAACTACAGGGCTACCACATCTGAGTGGATACGATACAGACTGCACTCCTGGCTACTTCAAGGTGTGTTTTAAACCCTTCTCATGAGGTCAGGTTCACCTGAGTCACATGCCAATAAAAGCCATACCCTGCCCTGGGCCAGTATCACAGAATAGGATGAAAAAGCACAGCAAACATACATCTTCAAAAGCACTTTCTACAACATAAACCAAACAGCTCCTGGTACACAGGGGCACATTGATCCTGTCTACTCACAGAGACATCTGGAATTTATTCACTGTTTTGGAAGGCAGCTGTAACTGTGGGGCTGCCACCTGGAAGGCCCAGTGCCCACAGCCAAGGAGCTCCTCCTCACCTATGCAACCTGGTCCTCAACCAAGAAGCTTCAATTCCTTTACTTCAGAGGGAGGAATCACCATGTCCCAAAGCCTAGGCATAGTTTTTGGAGAAACACTACAATTCATGGAGCATCCAGGACAGCCAGTTGAGCAAGATCGTGCCTAAGTAGGCACTGTTACTCAATTAGCTGAGTTGGCTGAAGGTTTTCCCATTGTAACACGACTTTTCTATTCTAGTATTATTTTCGTGAAAAAAAAAAGAAAAAGGAAAAAAAAGAGTGGGGATGGGTGGGGTTTTTGCGCAAAACTTGTTGCTTTTAATAAAAAAAAGGTTGCTTTTCTCAATATTTTGCTGTTTATTTCTGTTGGGAAAACTTGAAACACATAATTTTTGTCAGAAAAATATCAGTCCATGTCTGTTTGAATTCCTTTAGTGTCAGTTGGGAGCTATAATTCAAGGGTTCCATGGCCCCCTCTTTCCCTTGGCACCTCTCCAGCCTTCATGACGCATTCCCTGTTTGACTAACCCATGGTAAGAGCATCATGGGATCTGTAATTCAGCCAAAGAGCTCAGCCCCACGGGGGACAGAGCGCGCAAGGCACTTGAATGATAATTTCTGAGGTCTGCAACAGTAGCTCAAACTGATGCTGCTTTAAGGGCCAAATGGATTTAATTAAATGTTTCCATTTCAAAAGGCTGGAACATTTTATTCAGTGTTTTCCAGCGGACAATTTCTCATTTTTTGAAAAATTTCCATTCCAGGAAAATGTTTGGTATTTCAGCTTTCCATGTCGATTCAGGATGAAATTAAAAAGTCAAGAATCAGATTTTGATGCTATATAGACATTCAGTTTGGGAAATAGCCTTATTACTTAGCTATCAAAAATGAATTGGCTTCATTCATGCAAGAAAGGTATGATCCAGTTTGCCTTTGACATCAGTGGGAGCAAATTTTTTAACTTAATGGAGCCTGGATAGCATCCCAAAAGGCCAAGGAAGGATGGAGTTGACCATAGTTACAGATACTGGAAACAGGAGTCAAGAGTGAAAGAGGAAGAATAGAAGAAGCAGCAACTCAGATGATCTTGTTACTGGAACTTGATCAAAACTCTTTGTTTTACTTTAGTAATAGGAAGAAAATTCTCTAAGATTATAAAACGTAATTCCCAGTTGCAGTAAAGACAGCAGCAAACCACTACCTTGTAGAGTAGAATAAATCCACAGTATGAATTTGCCATGAGCGCTACAACTTTCAACGTTCAAAGCATTTCCTCAGAAAACCTTCATATACTCCATTCAGGGAGACTATTTTAAGATAGAGGTATGCTACTGAACTGCTTGGCTCAGGTTGTCTGTCCTCCTTTGAACCCCCCAAAAATTATTCTGTTGGACTGGCATTACAGAAGGTCTGTCAGGAGAGACCAAGGTCTATGGACTTTGAGCACATCTGCAGGTGGAGATCAGCTAAGTGTGGGCTTCCAGAGCTGACACTTTGGGTGAAGATTGTGCACCAAACCCATCCTCTGTATTGCCCAAACTGGTTTTGGATGTAGCCCCAAGCCTTCCACCTCAAGGAGTAAAAGAGGAGCCCCAGGGAGTCTACATCCATCAGCAACAGGGTGTGTGTTGAAAGCAAGAAAGCACTCAGAACAGTAAGTAAATCAATTTGTTCAACCATGAGGGTTCTAGAGAATTGGGATTTGTTTATCTTTCATTTCCCTTTAGTACAAGGCAGATGTTTCTAAGTAATAAGCAGAAACCTCTACAACTTTTAAGACTGAACAGGAAGGAAGGGAGAAGAAACATGTACAAGCTTTGAGGATGTTCTCAGCTCCAGCTTAAAAAAAAAAAAAAAAAAGGCAAAACCAAAATCACACACCACCAAAAATGTATATCTGTAAAAGCAAGTTTTTCCTTAAGCTGTTTGGTAATTCTTAGTTCACAGGAGCATTTATCCAGAAGGTTTTTCATGTTTCCAGTCTAGGTTGTAGCAATTTCAGTGAGGCACTAAAATCTTAGGCTGTCAAAGTCTCTCTGTGCAGCATGGTCATTTTAAAATGACGTGGTAGCCATCATTGCTTTCAGCTGTAACAAAGAAATGCAAAGCATGTTTTATTGCTTTTAGGAAACATCAGAGATACAGAACTTCAGATTTTCTTCCTAGGTAGTCTACAATAGTTTATACTCTTGGCCCACGACCCACCCATGAAAATCAATTCTGAGCACCTAGGTCAAATAATTTACATTAAAAAAAACCACATACTGTCATCTCTTATAATTTTACTTCAAGTTTTTCTGCTCATTTATGTCAGTGGTATCAATGGATTTATGAAATTTTTGTAACACTGTAACTGAGAGGAAAGCATAAGATCAATCAGTCTACCACAGTGCAGTCAACACCTCACCTTACACTAAATTAGATTATCTTCTCAGGATAACAGCACTGAGTTTGTGATAATATTCAGTGCAATCAAAAGTATAAATGATCTTTAGAGCCACAGGTAATAGAAGCAGTAATACATACCTTTTAATGTGCTGATAACAAAACAAGATTCATCTTGGAAGTTTTGCACCATCTGAAGGGCAAAAACAAAAAAGCCAACACAACATATTTTTAGCAATGAAATTCAAGTTTCTTTCAGTATCAGTATAGACTTGGAGGAGAGGATCAAAGAGAATTTGGTGTCTAGTCCTACACAGACCTGAGTAACCCTGCCCATGAGATTACTGAAGTACATGACTGATTAATTAAGGTCCTTGCAGCTGCTAGTGTGTTTAAGAGAAGCTCATACTAGAAGTGCTTGCCTGGAGTTGATTTATCTTATTGAACATTTTACCATCCCCTTTGCAGCTCTTGATCCTGCAGGTTCTTGTACCACTCCAGTTATTCTATTAAAGATCATGCTCTTAATTGCTTTCAGTGAAGCTGTTCTAGTTCAGACTGGATGAATATAGACCCTTTCCTAAGATCTAACAGTGGTAATTACACATTCAGATAAACTACGGAGCTCAGTTGAGCTTCCATTAGCATTTAAGTAACACCTAGAGGTGGGTGAGCCCCAGGAAATGAACTGCTTGCTGGATAAAGGAATTGCAACTGAAAAGCAATCTTGGCAGTGTCCATCTGGTTACTTTGACCAGACATTAGTACAGATGCTGTGCTTGCAGGAACCATTTACCTGTTTGTATTTCATCAACAGGAATCTTAGTGAAACTGCTACAAGAGGCAAGACAAATCACAAATAAAGATTAGAACCTAAAGCTATTTGAGTTATTCATGAGAAACAACTGGATTTTCAGAACAGGTGAAGGTTCTAGAGACACCCCTAAATATAGAGGTGAGTTAAGAGATTCAGATGACTTCGGATCTAACAGGAAAAGCCCATTTAAGCTTTAGCCTTGGTCAATGCTTCCTCCCATCTTAAAGTAGTTATGTGGGACAGAGAAGGTGAGCTACCTTCAGGAGGTGTCTCATACAGTTGAAGCAGATGCTGGACACAATTTCAAAGGAGGGAGATGTGACCAGAACTTGTCTGATGAGCTCATAAAATACAGCTTTAAGAAAAAGCCTTATCTGAGATACTGAATAGTATTCGAGCAGTGCACTTTCCAGCTCTAAGTTCTCACACCAAAATACTCTTTTCAGCTGAGACTAATCTCCCTATATTCTCTTTTGGGTTTAACATCCAGACACTGCTCCTGCAAATCAAACTTCACTGGCCAGTTTGTGTTTTTCTGCCTAACGATGCATGAAGTACATTCACAGAGTGCCTCACTCTTCCCACTATAGTACTAAAACAAGAAAAAACGTTTAAAAAGCCATAGACATTGTTAATAATTGACTTACACAAATACTTTAAGCCTTATACCCAAGCTGGTTCATGTAATTCCCCTACCAAGTGTTGCCTCCAAGCATTTTGCATCCATAAAGCATCAAAGTTTCAGATTTAATCAGGCTGGAATAGCAAGGAGACTTCAGGAATAAGCATTATAGCCTTCAGTTTAGGCACCAGTTGAGACCTATGCTCTGCTTCATTTGTTTTAACAATGCTTCTTATAAATGAAGTTCCTTAAGGGATTCTAGTGCATGAATGAGTAAGTAATTTAGTAGGGGGAAAAGAGGAAGAAGGGCAACTCACTATTAACCTCCAAGGTAATGGAATGGACTAAATTAAGCCATCCTATATGGGACACAAACAGCTAGCAGAGGTCCATTAAATTATAGCATGCACTTCTATGGCATTGAGTGACCCAGTGGCTGTAATCACCGGCCAAGATGTAACACTAATTGCCCTACAGATTTTCAACCTTGTCTTCTTTAGGAAACTTACCTATTTAATTTTAAAGGTTGTTCTTACTTTAGATCCTCACTTCAAAATTTGTGTAAGTAGTAAGAATGAAAACAAATTCACAGAATCATTTAGGTTGGAAAAAACCTCTAAGATCATCAAGCCCAAATGCTGACCTAGTGCCAGCAAGTGCACCACTAAACCATGTCCATAAGTGCTACATCTACACATCTTTTGAACAGTCCCAGGGAGGGTGACTCAGCCACTTCCCTGGGCAGTCTATTCCAATGTTTGATAACCATTTCAGTGAACAGATTTTTTCCTAACATGCAATCTAAACTTGATGCCATTTCCTCTCATCCTGTCGCTTGTTACTTGGGAGAAGAGACTCAGCCCCACGTTGCTACAACCTCCTCTAATGTAGTTGCAGAGAGCAACAAATGAGCAATTTTATTGTGTTTTGTTTTGCTTAAAAAAAAAAAACAAACCAAACCCCACACCAAACCAAAAAACCCAACCTCTTTTACAAAGCAAAGGTCTTGAAACCTCACCAAAATCAATGCGATGCACAACTGATTTGCTCTAAGTATTTACTTTAACTTGTTGGGATTAGCAACTCTGCTATGCTTGAAGATGCATTCCAGTATCTGAAAGTTCACTCTAGCACCAAGATGTCAGACAATTGTTACAGCTCCAACAAAGTTTGCATTAACCCCTTACCTCATTGCTCACCAATACATGGATCCCTGTAGGTCCCTGCCGATAGATCCGATTTATCTGCTGTGGAGAAATGCTGTACAAGTTTGCAATCTTCTCCATTAATTCCAGCGTGGTCAATTCTTCTAAGAAGATTGCATGATATACTGCAACAAATTGAAAGTAATTACAGAACAGCACATGCAGATTGTAATGTAAAGTAATGGCCAGTCTCTTCGCGAACGAAGAACCGGGGAAGGTTTTTACACCTTCCAGCCTGCGCATTGGATTTTTTAGGTGAGACACAGTGTGCGCGGAACTGAGCCCACCCTTTAATCCTGAGGTTCATCTGCCGGGGCCAAGCACGCTTGGACAGTGGCAGCGAGGTCCTCAGGACGCAGATGGATTGCCTTACAGGGCTAACGAGCTCCATCTGCCCGGGGAGGGGCCCCGACCGGGAATCGAACCCGGGTCTCTGCAGTGACAGTGCAGTGTCTTTTCCCCTAGACCACCGGGGGCTCCCATGCAGATTGTACCAAGATGCTCTCAGCATCAACAACCAAATGGGTTTAAAATAAAGGTTCAGATCTTGGCAGTAGACAAACAAGCTTTGTTCCTTTAAAATATTCCCAAAATATCTAGCTTAATGCAGGAAAAAACCCAGTATTTGGATGCAGTGGGCAATTAAAGAACTCGCAACTTTTACCTAGGGGAAAACACTAAAAAAGCCCTCTCATAAAGATGCTAATATTGTTGGATAACCTACTTCTATTGATTTGGACATTTTTAAAAAAATATGTCAAACTTATGATACTACATTACACAAAAGCAGTGTTTTATTAGATGCCATCCACTGATCACATAGTCTCAAACTAAAGCATACAATGTATAAGTTAACTACAGGTGACAGTATTGTTTTATAAATCCAATCCAAATTATAGGAACCTGGTAGAAAAGTTGTGCCTGGTTATTACTAAGTGAAAGAATTAGGGACAATCTCTATTCTCATTTGATTGTACTGTACATCATGCCATGAGGGATGACAAGTCCTCAAAAGCTGTGAACTTTCAAGAAGTAGGACCTCACTTTAGGACCTACTGACCTTCCACTTCCTGGAATTTTTCCAGACAAGACATAATCTAAAGTAAACTGTGGACAAAAGGGTAGTTTTAAATGCTCTTTTCCCCACTAAGAACTGAATAAAGGTTTTGCAGTGGCATTTGCAGCTAGGTTGTAAGTTGGGTCTGTTCCTCAGGCAGATGGTATCAGTTGGAATTTATGGCCCTGAAACTATAACCGAAGTGGCAGAACTGGGATAAACAGGACCTTTTCAAACACTCAAGACACTATGGCATCTCACACAGGACCTCAGGCAGAAAGCAGCATCTTACCAGGTAAGTGTTTAATGAGATCCATACGTAAAAACTTACCACAAAGACTGCCATCTCCATTTTCTCTTTTTTGGTGGAGATGGGACCTGTTTTGCTCTGGTTCTTGACAGACATAAATTGTCATCTTGGGTCTTACATTTCTATGGATTAATAAAAACCAGTAGTAAGTAACTCAGTAGATCTAAAACTGTTTCAAGTCAGCTACCAAACAATGAGAGATGGAATCATTCAGGCTGTGCATGAATAACAAACTAAGGGACAGTCTTGACGCTGGTGACTAGATGTCCTAGGGCATCTATTCAGGAGACCCCTGGGAGATAATGTAGAGCACCTTAATCTTTCCAGGATCAGATAAGACTAAACAGTTTACAGCAGGTGTCAAGCAGTTCATCACACCTGCCTCTACTTATTTAAATCCTGCCCAGATGCAGGATTTATGAGGTTACTGCAATGAAAGTATATTTTTAAGGGTCACTTGAGACTCCAGGGTTCATTGTTTTGTTGTTTGTTACCTCTGATGGAAATTTACCACAGGGTATTGTAGGCTGTGTCTCTCATGAAATGGATGTAAGCTATCAGCTGGTAGTAAATAAATCACTGGAGATTCACAATATGCTTCTTCATATTTTGGCAAAATTTCTGAGCTGTGCTTGGATTTGAATACCACTGTGATCTCCAGCCTCTGAGATGACCTTTCTGAAGTATTTTAAGGAAGTATAAATGCTACAGCTCCAGGATTAACTTCTACTTAACAATGAAATTACCAAGGGATGCTGTCATGAAAAATAAATTTAAAAAAAGGAAATAATACAAACCTTCCTTTAATTGCATTAAAGAGTCGAATTCCATCAGCAGGTCCACAGATTTGAACAAAATCTTCTTTGGACATCTTCAGTAAGTCAGCACCTACATATTTCAAATTGTTTTTTTTCAGAAGTTAAGCAAATCTTAGCATCAAAACTGTGTGTATAGACAGCAGGAAAGAGAATCCACAAAATTAAACCAGACAGATTTGCACAGAGAAGCTGCAAATTCAGAGAGGTGTTCACTTCAGATCAATCCTTGTGAAACAGAAAGCTAGAAGCTGCCAAAAGAGCAGTGCTGCACTGGAAAATATTCTGGCTAACTCAGAAACAATCTAGATATTTAACTCTGGCCATTAAATGACCCAACTTTCTGTAACTGTCACGTTCACTGGGTTATTTAATCACATTGCAAGTCAGAGAGAGGCTCCTCATTTTTTCAACATCTCCAACAATTGCGCCTTCCACCACCTTACTGGTGTGTACAGCTACCTAATGGGAGGGTACTTGGAAAATGGAAACAGATGCTTCTCAAAAGGTGCACAGGGGCAGGATGAGAGACAACAGACAGAAAATGGAAAATGCTGATTAGATATAGAAAAAAATGTTTTCACTGTGAGTGTAGTTAAGTATTTGAAGAGGTTGTTTAGAGAGATTGAGTGAGTATCTCCAAGGTTGGAAATTCCACAAAGGTAACTCCACAAGGATCTGGACTTGCTTCAAGCAGGGGCTTGCACTTAATGAACTCAAGAATTCTCTTCCATTTTAATTAACTCTCTTCCCTCTTTACCTATTCTATATGTCTACAAAATGTTTTGACAAATGCTAACTAATCTAAGAAGAAAAGAACAACCCCACTGGATCAGACCAGTGATCCCATCAACAGTGGCCAGCAGCAGATGCTACTGATACGAAGCATGAGCTGCACTTTTACAAAAGAGAACAAAAGCCAAAATAATTGGACCGTTTAAACTCACCCGAAAAACTTGAGAAGAGTCTACAGAATGGAGAGAACCTATTACGATGAAGCCACTGCTGGGCATCTTGAATAGAAGCAGAAGGAAGGAGATGCTACATTGCAAAAAGAATAAGAAGGTCTTGAAATGAACTGTTCACCAGTGTCCTAAAAGAGAAAAGCACCACATTAACATGATCTCAAGTACTTACATCATTGCTGGGAGGCAGGAGCTCCATTTGGTGAGTTGGAGAACTGTTGCTAAAAGAAATTATATAAAATTGAAAGAGAAAAAAAAAACACATTACTTTAAAATCTACATTACAGTGTCAATCCTCTTCCCCCTCTCCTATATTTGATTCAACTTTTAGAAGTTACACATGAACTTGTCTTTTTCTCTCTATCAGATTTTTTTTAGAAAGGTGTCCAAAACCTGGGCCAAGAAAAGAACAAAAAAATACTTTCTACTTGAGCCTTTTGTTGGTCAGCTGAGGTCCTACTCAACACAGAGGAAAAACTCACATTTGCTGACCTCTTTCAAGCTTTTGTATATGGGTGATTCACTAATGTAACATCAACTAAGCAAGGAAATTGTAACTTACAGGGTAGTTGAACTCAAAATTTCTATAAGCCAGAAATAACCTAATAATAACTCATAAAAATTGAATAAAGGACCTTATAATTCAACCCTAGTGTTATTTGAAACACAGTAAGTTGTAATTTAACTATATTACACAAAACCACATTTCTACTAAATCCTCCTAAACATGGACAGGACTTCTTAACATGTCAAGGACTTTACCAAAGAGCTAATAATCTACAATTGGAAGAAAATGCTCAACAGATCTCTTACTAACACAAAATTTTGTAATTCTGATGTTTCTCCTTATTCTTAGGTTGATGCCACTGATTAAAATTTTGTGATACAACACAGATTGATTAGTAAGCTGTGTGGGAAGGCAATTAGTGGGAAGAATCCTACCAGAATAAAAAGAAAAGCCTGTGCCAAATTCCTAGGGCAAAGTGTGCTGCACAGAGGACTCAGAAGTACTGCAGGACCCTGCTGTACATTTGACATCAGTTATCATCTCAGGCATTTCAGGATCACTAGACCTGTTTGTTTATGATGGTTATTTTAATGAATTAAACATGCTTCCACTAGTCCTTTGTTCTGAAATGGCTTCTCAAAACCCAGGCTGTTTTGCCCCAGGCAGGATTTCTCTGCATCCCATTCAACTGGGAATTCAGCACCTCAAGCTACCTCAAGATAGAAGGTAAGGAAGAAATGACAACTCTCAAGAGGTGCTGAAAGCCTCTAACAAACTTGTGAGAAGATACTGGGAATTGGTACAGGGTAAGGTGTGTTCTCACCAGGAATTGCCCTGGTGGTCCTCTGATGCTCACCTTACAGTCACTGCATAAACAGTGGACATACAAATTACAGGAATTGCTGGACAAAAGGTCTTAAAAGGCTTTTTGGACATACTTTCCCCCTTCCTAGAAAGGGTGGTCCTCAACCTCTTCTTCCAGGGTATGAAATGCAGGGGCACAGAAAGCTTATGCACACAAAGGCTACACCATATCAACAGGAAAGATAAAGCATTTATTTGTTACATACCCATCTCCGAGGTTGAAGCTGTTGGGAGAACTGTTGTAGCTTGGAGATGGAGCATTGTTCATTTGATAAGGCACATCTGGCCAGGGAGAGCACTGTTGGAAGAAAGGCAGCGGGGATACTTTCATAAGGATGGAAATAAAGGATTCGATTCTCCTCTAATACCACATTCATGCTGTTGCCACGCCACTAACTTCAGCTCATTGCTCCTGCTGGGAGGAGGAGATGGGCCATGGATTTTCTACACTGCTCTCCAAGCGGGCTGTCAGGGGGCCAGATTGATTCCAGTTGTGCATTCCACATTTCTTTCTCCCATTTCACAAAGCCTGTCCCCAAATAACACTGGGCCAAAGTGTGCACAGCTGTAAGTCAGAGCAACGCCAGTAAGTCAACTCAGACTGAAGGCAGCAATGATACAGAAATACCCCTGGTCTCAATTATAAATCCCTAATTAAATCCAGGCAAGAGTGACAAATACGCTCCAGTGGCATTGCTTCAGGTTTATACCAGTGAAAGAGCAGAATCTGAACCAGCCTGCTAAAGCCTCTGGCGATTAGTCAAACAGCTCCAGTCATAAATGGGTATTACATGGAGAAAATTTAAGATAGACAGACAGACACAAAGCTACTAAAAGCCTTCACAAATATAGGTCAGACTCCACATTCCATTACAGTAGTGTGAAACCAGAGTAACCCAGCTAGAATTGGTGACTCTGTTCTGAATTTAAGCCAGTGTAATCAGTAGGAGAATCTACCCTTTTGGAACCCCCTGCCATCAAGAGCTCAAGAAAATGCTCTGTAGTATCCTTGTTTGCAATGATAAAAAGACAACAAGTGTAGCTTTGCAGCTTTATCATTCCACAAACACGAGCAAATATTTTATCATCTCCACAAGCACTGGCAAATATTTAACTCTTTGGCAACTCACATTTCCCCGTGCAATATGTCAAAGTGCAGCAGAGCTCATAGGAGAGTTTGGGATCTGCCAGCTCAGTAGAATTAGGTCTGTCAATTAGAAAACATGCTGGTTGCTCCTGGCAACGTGAGGAACATTGAGTGGGAGGGACTGGATCTCACAAACAGGAAGTTGATTTAAATTAAAAATAAATTAACATCATTTTTTAAAGTCCAGCAAGCCACTTCAAAAAACCCAAGAACTAAACCTAACGACAAGACATTCCCATAAGGAGACTGAATGGCACTTTTAAATGCCTTCCTTGAGTTCTGTTGCTTAGTAATTCTGCAGCCTAGGGTAAATTTATACATATACCTTAGTAATGACAGGGAGGGGTAGAAACACATACAACTACACCAGATGCATCAGAATATAAGACATTCAAGATACTCCTAGAGTATAACCCAGAATCTTCTCAGACCTTGTATGTAACAGTAGCCTCATAGGCACATTCACAGAAAACCAGATTAATCATTTCATCAGACAGGTCTATTCATCTGCTCAAGTGCCCCATCTCATGAACTTCTGCCAGATAGTTTTTAAAAAAAAAAACAAACCTCATACAACGGGCACCTGAGGGCCATGACAAGTGCCTGGGAACACAGGAGAATACTGAGAAAATAATTTCTTTTAAAGCTAGGCTGTTAAGGGCTGGTTTATACCCTGAAACATAAGAAACTTTGGCATATTTCATAAATTTCAACAGTGAGAGTCATTTTATAATTTTACTCCTCTCTCAATTTCCATCAGACCTCAGCATATATGGTTCCACAAGACAATCTCCAGGGCTCAGTTAGATGCTGTTTTCTCTCAAATTTATCTCCCAACATGATGTAGCACTATGTGTCTAAAACACTTTACCTCTGTGAGAATAGTTGTCTCATAGGAAGGTTGATACTTCTCCTTCTCTTGGGTGGTCTTCTTTTCCATTTTTTCTCTGTCAGTCTTCTGTTTTCTGTCTGCTCCTTTAGGCTACAAGCACAAGCACAGGCTCTCCCTTACACCAAGTACTACAAGTTTGGAGACAGAGGCCAACAGATTTATCTAATCTGTTCACAAAAGCTTCCTTAAAATTTATGGGGACTTTACATATGAAACAAGATCAGATCTGTATTTTCTGGACCAAAAAAATTAGTCAAGCATCTCTACTGTTTCTATACATCACCCATGAATGCCTACTGCAATTCTGAAACAGGCTGACCACTGTCCTGAGATGTGATTTCAATCATTTCAGGTCATGAACTCCATCAGTTATGCATCTCAACTTGTATTTGTACCATATTTCCAGGAACAAGACAGACACTGCTCACAGGAACAAAACTGGAGCAGCAGATCCCTTGAGAAAACAGGTCTATAGAAAGTTTGTTGTTAAGTAGCTACAGGTCTGCCATGCCCAGATTAAAAGCTTCAGAGATGCTTTCTCTCTGAACTTCTCTGCGGTAGCATGGAAAGGAACTCTGCTGAAGAAAACCAAACAAAACAAAAAAAACCAAACAAAGCCCACCCCCCCCAATAAACCCATATAACCCAAAACCCACAACCATCAAAAAACAAACAAACAAAAAAAACCAAAAACCCCCACAAACACACCCCCCTCCAATCTACAATGTATTTAAGATCTCCAGGATACACTCTTATTGTTCAGGGAGGATTAAATCAAAGAAACCAGAAATGCCATAATGTCTTGATTGCCTACAAGCATCAAAACACTGAGGATATCCTGAATATCTCAGTATTTGTATAGTGTTTGAGGCACAATGGACTGGCCTAGGTCATGGTGCAGCACTTGGATCATTTCAATTCTACTAGAATTGCTGTGTAGTTCATTGTTTATGCCACCTTGTGCACAACAGTCCTGTTTAAGATCTTAAGCATGCACAGCTAAAAGTCTATTCTTTTACTCCACTATTTGCATCACTCCAACACAGTTCAAAATCTTGGCGTGTTCCTGTGCCTTAATCTAGTCGATGACAAAGCCAAAACTACCTCATACCTTGAACACTTTGATCTGGCAGCTTGCAGAATGCAAGTGTTCTGTGTATTCACCATTCTCATTCTGCTTAAAGGTGTCGATTTGCACCCGGAAGGGCACCCCCTTCTCTCCTCCATGTTTCCGTGGAGTAAATTCTGTGCTGATGCAATGTACCTGGCAAAACAGAAGCTGTGCTCATCTCTGGAGACTGCTGGAACCTGTGCAAATCTGAATTTCAGAAATTGCCCAAACATGATGTTTTGGCTCCTCCCAACAAACTAAGAAAGGAGAAGAGTTCATATGTTTTCATTTTTATTCCTCAGGACAAAACTATTAGAAGAACAAGCAGTTCAGAAAGAAACAGGGCATCATGAAAAGCATCCTTTGATATAATTAAATCTTTCATACAGCTTAAAAACAGATAGTTGGTGTTCAGAATGAGAAATATTCATGAAAGAGGAAACCAAGCAAAACTAAGATTATGAGCAGTTCCCTCCAGACAAAACCTACACTTGGAAAGCAACATCAGTGTCTGGATTTTTTTAAAAGAAAATCCTAGCTGTAGCAGGTAGTACTCCAAAGTTAGCAAGTAGCCAGCAAGTTGGTTTAGTGAGTATCCTACAAATTATTACAAGATTGTCATATGAGTTTGTATATTATCATTAACATCTTGGTCTCTTCTTCATGTCCTGGCAACTCTAACCCTTCAGGTCTTTATAAGATATCCAGCCACTGTACTGACCCCAGAAATATCACTTCTCTCTTACCTGAATGAATGCTGAAGCTCTCTTTGACGGATCCCAGAGAAATTCAACAGTGTTCAACTGGGTTGGGCTAGCCCTGGGATCCAAGATACCAACTGACAGCGGAATATCTGTAGAAGAAAACCCCTAAAATTTTAAAAATATTAAATTGAAGAAGAGAAAGCATTTCCATACATTTACAAGACGCATGCGAAAAGTGAAGCCACCAGTGAGACATCTATTTGTAGGTGCTACGGTGCTAGATCTCCTTCCCACCCAAAGACATACATGATTCCTATGACAGTAGGATATAAAAAAACCTAAGCACACATGCAAACACTCCATATACATTCAGCTTCCAAACACTGCACAGGTACTGTAGTTAAATAGCCTCACCTATATCAAGGATGCGGTCCCCAGGCCGACTCCACCTCCAGCCCTCGAGCTGCTGGTGCTCTGTGTACTGCAGGCGTCGGTCGTGGAAAACTACACGAATTATGCTCTGTTAAGAAAAGACAGCAATATTAACACTGTGATCCAGAAGCCCCTTCTTTTGAGATGACTTTTGTTTTCCAGAGTAGAAGCAAAAGCTGATCTCTTATGTTTCTCACCCCCATTCACGAGGAGAGTCAAGGGTCCACTTAAGAGACCCATCACCATGTTTATTAGTTTCCTAAGGGACCCCTGAGTGAGAAAGAAACACACTTCCCCCTTCACAGGGCACATCTATACTGTGTAACACAGCCCTGTACAGCTTTCTGGGATTCACTCTGGAAGCACTAGAAGCACCTCATCTTAGGTGCCATGCCATGTAAACATCACTATACTGCCTGCACACCCAAAAAGGCTCCTACAGGGCTAATATTTAATGTGTCTGTACCATGTCCCAATCCCAGTATATCCCATTATGATTCACAAATGTGGAAGCCAGCTCACCTGTCCCTGCACCGGTGGAGCTAACATGTCCTGACACCTTGTCAGTGGGAATTAAACTTGATCCCAGCCATTAACAGCCAGTCACTGATTTGCCCAGGTGTAGTTAAACAAGTGTGGAACAGGAAAGCATCTGTAACAGCAAGCTGGCCTGCAATGGTGCAGCCACATCAATAACTGGAGAAAAAAGGCTGGAATAAAGGCAATTCCCAGGGCAGACAAATCCTAAGTACTCCTAAGTAACATATCCCTTTGTATATTCAGAGTGCTACGCTTAGACGAGTTAATGACCCCTAACATCCCGGTTTCTTAAGCCCGTACTCCTGCTGGGGACTTCCATATCAAATGAGTGGGCAATTTTTGCCAGTGAACCTGAGAAATGTGTAAATCAAACCCTAGCTTCAAGAAGCAAGCAAGCCACAGTGGGGACACCTGCAAAATTTGAATCCCAATCCACACACTACCTGAAATGGGCCAAAAGACAAATAGGGAACTGCCTAAACTTGGACAACATTTGAAATCCAGCTTGGAATCCAAATTTTGCAACTGGTCCCCACTTCTCAAAAGAAATCCTGAGGCAGAACAGTCAAGAATTGAAGGTTGGATCCAGAACCAAGGTCCGGACCAAAGTTTTTGAATTTGAATTGTTTTGGGAGTGGGGGAAACAAAAAAAGAAAATCCTCCCCCAAACCAAATGATCAAGTTCTATATGTTCATAATTATGCCCATTACCAAAGTAAACTGGAGCTATGCAGAGTCTGCCTGGCAGAACAGTGTAAACACCTGGGCCCTCCATTTGGCATGTAATAACCCAGGCATGTTGCTGGGGTTAAGTAGGGAGACAAGTCTGCCTCTCAGCAGCTTTGACCATGTTCACCACTGAACTTTGGGATTCCCCTGAACCCAATATTCACTGTGAAACTCTGGGGTCATGATCACAAACAGAATAAAGGTTCCCCTGAAGCCCTGCAAAGCTGCATAGTCAACTTCATCAGCCCTACTCCCACTAAAAACAATGGCAAAGTGTTTTCCATTGTCTTAGTGTGAGCAAGGTCAGGCCCTTCATTAAAGGCTGTGTGTAGTAGCAGGAAGAAAAGAAATCTATATTTCTCCTTACCTTTACATATTTTGTGTTTAAATCTTGAAACTCTCCCAATTTCCTATTCTCAAGTAGACGGATTTCATAAGACTGACCTAGAGTTTAAGGAAACATTTCCAAGGTGTTTAATATGTTGTAGCAATGAGAGAGTCATGCTGGCATTTATGTGGCTGATAAAGCATACGTTTGATCAGGGAAAGCTTATTTTTGCTAACATAATGCATTTGCCCCAGTAATCATTAGGCACTAAAGCACTGCAGAAATCTGAGGGGAAGGTTTGCCGTTCGGCAACTAAAATCTCTCCATTAGGGCATCAATTATAGCTGTCTCCCAGGGCTGCTACACTTTTCTGGTCACCCTCCAGAAAGCCACCAAGGTGTTCAGGGCAGTTGCCCACCCACGTCACATGGCTGTGACAGCACTGCCTTTGTCTGTCCCTTCTGCCAAAGCAATTCTGCCAAAGCAGTGGTTGTGTGAAGAGATGCTGGCTCAACATATCCAGGCACTATTTTGCAGAGGATCGAAACTTGGGCAAAATCTTCCCCTTCTTCAGAGAGCAGTCAGGTCCCTAAGGTGTTTTGGTGAACCAGAAATATAAAATTTGTTCCATAAAGCCTGCAAAGTTGCTGCCCAGGGCATAAATACTCCTTTAAATATGTGTGTGGAGGCAGCAGGGTATTACAGCATGTGCAAGGAACCAGTTCTGGGAAGGGAATTCCTACTCCAGCACCCCACCCCCAACCTCAGAATAAGGAATTTAGTCAGTTCAATAGAAATTAGCTAACTGGTTTATGATACAACATTTCTCTCCAAGACTGACAGCAGACAAAGGAGACTGATGTCTCAATACCTTATGCACAAATTACGACAAGAGTATAAAAGCTCATTGTATTACACCAAGTCTTTACAATAAACCTGCAGCCAGTACCAATACAGGACAGGATCATCAGGATTATTGGAGTACATGTATACCTTATTTCTTGTTTTTCTTGTTTATCTTGCTATCCTCTCTTTTCCTGAAAAATGTACAGGGTATGACAGGGCACCAAGAAGATCAGTTTGGGTTTTCTGGCCTAACCAGTATCTCTGCAGAACTGGCCCTGCAGAAAACTGCAAAGCAGATATCTCTCCCTCCAAGCAGCTCCTATCAGCAGAGACAACAACACTACATTTCTGGATCCAGATCTAGAAATGGAAGACTTATGGCAGCAGATGTGTTGGAAAGGCACCATGTTACAGGGAGATTCCCTTTTGAGAATCCCACCTGCATGGGTACAGACCACATCAATAGAGCACAGTGTTAACTGTGCTTATTCAGCTGGCAGGTAGTAAAAAAAAGAGGGGAACAAGAGAGGCCATATTGAATCCCCAAATGTTTGCACAACACTCCTACAGATGTTAATAGGAGTTCTGTGAACAGGAAATGACCCTTAAATCCGGCAAGAGGCTTAGGGCACAGGCAGAGGAGAGCATAAACCATATGAAGTACCAAAATAAGCCCTGGAAAGATACGTTGATCTTTACCCATCTCTTTGCACATAAGTAAAACAAAATGACAACAGTGACCTGCCTTTGAAGACTGCTGGACAACAAAAGCGGATTTTGTAAACTTCAGTCCTGAAACTGAGTTCTTCCACACTTTAACTCAAGAGACTTTCTAACATTCCCACTGATACATGTTAATATTGTTCACTTGGCAAATTTTAGATAGATGTGCATATTACCCTACATATTCCATGCTCTTGCATTAGCATAAAAAGAACAGGGTCAGGTTAACAAAATGGGTTTTCTCTCATAGAATCATAGAAAAGACCCTTAAGATCATCAAGACTAACCATTAACCTTGGACTGCCAAGTCCACCACTAAACCATGTCTCTAAGTGCCACGTCTCTTGTACTGTGTACTTGTATGTGCTGCACATGTTTGTCTATGAACTACCTGGCTGCTCAATGGTTCAGTTTGGGGATAGGTTTCACCAGCTATGGAGTGATACAGTTCCTCATCTCAAACCAATTTACACAGCCAAGCAACTCTTGCACTTACAGTTCATTCCCATGCAAATACAAGGCTAATTCATCATTACAGAAAATTAATTATGGTTCTGAGACCATGAGTGCCCAAAGGACAGTAAAATATATCTGTGACTGTACTCAGATGCACTAACAGGGACAGCCAAATTTAGTGACATGAGCTGTGCTATGGAAGGCAATGGTCAAACCAGAAGCACTGCCAGCCATTCAGCAAATATCTCAGGAATGAACAGGTTTTTGGGACACCTTCACGTACTCATACACTCTTACTCTTTTGTCAGCCTGATTCACTTATTTGTGGTTCCAATGAGACAAAAGAAAATAATAAGCATAAAAACATTGGCCATGTTCCTTTCCCAGTAGCATCAAGCACTCAAACTCTGCAACTTGCATCTTCCACCACTTAATGGGATAGAAACAGTACTGCAACCTGGCAGCCAGCAGGCACCATACATCTCCCTCCATCTGACAGGAGCGAGTCACCTTGGATGGAGTTAGAAATGGATTCTGCCTACTAAAAAAAAAAAAAAAGAAACTGCAGTGTAGATAGAGTTAATATTAAACAGAAAGCCAAAGAGGAAATAAAATGCTTTGATGAAAGATACATGGGTCATCTGATGGAGGCCCTGGAATGCAGTTTATGCCAGGAAAAACCTCAATCAAAATGGTATTTTATGCTGACTGCTTTCCCCTTGAACTCAGAATGTTTAACTCTAGTTGCTATACAGAACAACTATGAAACAAGACTGCTCCCAGTCAAGCTTCAGAAAACATGCAGTTTATTTCCCTCTCTGTGAAGCTCTGTCAGTGAGAATTCAGTCCTAATTTCTCAATGTTCCTTTATATATCAATCTTTTGGTACTGATTTTGAATTTATTCCCCTTAGAGCTTTCCAGCAAATTCACTGCTTAGTTGCCCATGGTACCCATAATTCGTTAGCATGGACAGCATTCAGATACTTGTACTGTTATAGCACAAAACTGCTTGGATTATACCTTTTCCTTGAAAAAGACATTCCAAACCTTGTTCACCTTATGTCTTCCACCATTGCTATCAGCAAAAGTCCTGAAATAGTGAATTACAGTCTCAGCCCTGGAACTATAACTGCAGGGGAATAAAAGTCCTAAAGAATGATGACTTGGACATGACAAAAAATCATTTTGTGAAATAAAGTCAACAATAGCAACCTAACCTGAAGAAAGCTGAACTCCCCCTGGCGTCAAAGAGGGCAAAGAAGTCACACAAGGCTCTGATACACAGATCATCTGTGAATCCTCTATCACTCACTGATTCACCAGCACGGGAAGGCATAGACTGACAATTTTCTGATAAAACTAAATCAGTAACAGATCATTCTTAGTCAGGTATCTAAATCTGTAAAGAGGCATGTCAGCAAGTGTGACTAAAGCAATCTGTATTTCCAGTTCCCAAGACAGATTGTAAGTAGCTAAGCCCAAAACATAATGCTGAAATACCGAGTTTCCCCATACTGAATTTTTCCATCTGTCTGAGATGGAAATAGAGATTAAAACAGGTCAGACTACAACCTTCCAAGTCAATACTTGGCGGTAAAAGCTGGAGACAGCTGCAGAGGGTGCCAGTGCTGAGACTCTGCAGTGATTTGATTTGAATGGCCTAGGTCCAGGACCTGGGCAGTATTTGGTCCTCAGCTGACATGGGTTCAACATCTAGTGGACTCAGATGGAAGATACAGCCTGAAAAAAACAACTGTGGCAATAGAGAGCAGTGGTGGCTGCTTTAGATCATTCCCCTTTAGCAGAATGGTAGTCATCACCCAGAGCTAAAGGCCAGCAACATGTTGAAACCTTTTCCTACCACACTCTCAACACTGGCCACAGCTGCACCACCATAGGCAACACATGTTTGAGATCATTTCAAAGCTGGTGACCAGCCCGGCTACCAGTCACAGTGTAATAGTGGACACATGGGGCACCTAAAGCATCTCTGTCACTGTCTAAAATGAACACTCTGCAAACAAATCCCCAGCATAGCTGATGCTGAAGCAGCCTCTGCATGTCCGTACCAACCAGTGCTTCCCTCACTCACCACAACCCTCCTTTTCCTACCTCAGGCAGAGAACAGAACAGTAATAAATATTTAGAAAACCACAGTAAATTCCTGAGATGCAATTTGCCTCCCCTCTTCATTGAAAGCTTCAGGGGCACCAATAAAAACCTGGGTGGGTGATGATATACTATAATTTGTATTTTAAACGGACATTCCCTGAGCAACAGCAAATTTATGCAATCTCCTCCTAGATTAGAGTTTGAGCAACTTGCTTTACAAACAAGAGTAGTATCCAGCAAAGTAGTAACCACCCAGGTCCAGAAAGCTGCTGGTTGGTAATTCATAAAGCAATTGCAACTATCTGAAGGAGGATTTATAGACTGCTTAGTTTTTTTTTAATTTGGTAATTAATGCACATGAAACACAGGTGTGACCACTTAATTTGAGGACAAAAGAACTGAAAGTTAACAATTTACAACAGATGAAAAATAATTTAGTTCAACACAGGAATGCTCTGACCTGCTCAAAAGCATTTAACATCTTTAACAACAAGCTTTAACATCTTACTGATTTCCACGGAATTTGGTCAGCCATCAGGAATTGTAGGTAATTTCTGATTAAGAAATATTATCACCATTGCAAGCTCAAAGTTACATTTTGTTCAAGAAGTATCTACTACACAACCACAATATCCTGCTTGCTTTTCTTTGTTTTGGTGTTATGTTTCAAGGGCCACTTGCACTATGTATTCTGTGGTTTTCTGCACAATACACCGACACGATACACTAATTTCCAATTAGGATGCTGATGTTCCAGGCTGATATGACTCAGGCCTTACTTAATCTAGCAAAGTAGTCTACTAGTCTTTCCAGCAATTAATTAAACCCTAACCTTCGACCAAGCAATACAGCCCCTACAAAATCTGTGGAAAGAAGAAAAAAACAACAGAGAATCCTCTTTCTCAGAATGGATCCACACAGCACTGGACAGAACCAGCCTGGAAACTGTTTGATTATTAAGCCAAGCTGGCCAATAA